TGACTCGAGTCTGACTCGAGTCCAAGTCATGTGACTCGAGTCCACACCTCTGTAGTGTAGTCACACTTGGCTTCTAGTTGGAAACCCTTTGGCAAGTTCTAAGAAGAAATAAAAACGTATATCATAAAACAATGTTTTTAATTATAAATAACCCACAAATCTATTTGTATATAGAAATCTGAATGTAAAACTTTTGCTTTAAATTTTATTTTTAAGGTAAAAGTTTAAATATGTATATTTATTATGTTGCTGTCAGATCTTGCACTGACTTTTCTCAGCAAAATGGCTGCAGTTATCCCTGTTTCTTGTCCACCTCTCCCTACCCCACTCATCCTTTCAAAGCGTTCCAATTTTCCATACATTCTATGCAGCACTCAGCGAATGACTAGACATTCAGCAATGACCTTATGGGGCTTACTGTCCTTGTAGATTGCCCAGTGAAGGTCATCTGGACAATTGTCAAGTCAGCAGCCTCGAATGTAGTTGCTTGCACTCGACTAGACTGAGATACACACATAATTTACTCAAATTTAGAAGGAAATATTAAGTCGAGATAATCCATTATCTCACATACTTTTTAATTTTGAACAGCAAAACCCATAATCACCCAAATTAAAACAAAACAGGCATATAAAGACAAACATTTCACTTCATGTGCAATTAATATAGATTAATATCGATTTTATGTAAAACCTTTTCATTATATATTTTTTTAGTTTCACTATCATTAAAAGCACTAACAGTAGACAGAAACAATTAAACTATGATGGAGGATCCTGAGGTGCTGGTTAATGACCGTCAATGCACACTTGTAGAGCACATAATAATTCAGCTGCATGGCTTTTTATGTTGTTTTTAATCCTGCTTAAGTTAATTGCTTTCATAGTTGTAACATGTCACTCCAGTCTGAGCCAACACGAAAGCCAGGGCATCGTATTGCTGTCCAATGAATTACTTATGTCTTTTTGCCGAGAGATGAGATGATTCAGTGGATAAGACATTCAAGCCTGCAGCAGTGTAGAGAACCTGCAAAATGAAAATAGTGTCGGTCAAAAATGCTGCTTTCTCATGTAGGTTAGAAACACTCAATCAACAGATTTATTAATAAGCAATGAGAGATGTTCATCTCACTGCATTTGACTGTTTTATAGCAGTAGCTTTAGTTAGGGGATCAAAGCAGAGCCAAGGAATTTAAAGATGTATCACTTGGGGACACATGTGGAATGGCCAATTCTGAGCAAAGCTAATGTTAACAGCTGATATGTTGATAACACAAAGGTAGTGCAAAGGTAGTATATCTGATCTGGCAGTGATATACAAAGGTCGGAAGCCCAAAGTGCAGATAGCGATATTTTTGTCGTAGAGAGCAAAGTATTTTATTTTATGTTATTATGTTAGCTAACTATAGTCGCCTATGTGGAAACAGCACAGCTATGTCTTGATGCATACTCAATCATACAGGTAAGGTATTCATCCAGGTAATCATCCAGGTACTTTTGGAGACACCGCAGCTATATTTCACGTTGTTGTCTACCACCACACCTGGGTAATTCACCAATCATACACTAAACATATTGAATTAAAGGGCAGTTTGTTTTCATATGGTATCAGTATGGTTTAGTTTAGTTTATCTGCCACAGTCTTTGTACTTATCTGTATATTATGAATTCTTTTTTTTGGATAATACCTTTTTAAAAACTAATAAATTAACACTTTAACAATCTATCAAGATTGTTAAAGTGAAATGTAATTTCATTTTGTTTTGTTGCACAAACCACCAAACAACTACTTGTATTCATCAAAGTCCTTATTTTTTGCACCGACTGAATTAACATCATCATCATCATCATCAACTTTATTTATAAAGCACTTTAAAACAACCACAGTTGACACAAAGTGCTGTACATTTAATTAAGTAATTAAAACCCAATGTAAAAAGTGGTGTTTGGGCTTAAATAAAAAGACCCTGAAAACCAAAATGGAAATGAAGCTCAAGATATTTAAGTAGGTGAGACATAAGTTTGAATAGTTAATAAGCTTGAATTGGCTCAACTCCTCCTCCACTTCAATAATTTACACATAATTAAGCAAGAAATTCAATTAGGTTTTAATCTGTTCCATATGGGCAGGCTGCAGATGGAAACGAGGAATCCATTCAAACAGAACAAAAAAAATCATTTAGCTGGAGAATGATGTGAGGATCATTTTCAAATTACGGTTTGTGAGGGCAGACACATATTTACATCAAGGTCAACCTTCATTTCTCTTTTTCACAGCGACAAAAGAATGTGCTTTAGGATTAGCTTGTCGTCACTGAGTACATTTATTTTCCGATGACCATGAGTGAGATAGGCAGGAGCTGAGCAGAATGAGAAGGTGCAAGTGTTGTTTGTGTGTGTGTGTGTGTGTGTGTGTGTGTGTGTCAGCTAATACACACTCAATGCACACACCTTGTCACGCTGACACACACGGCTGCCAAACCTGTTATGATTAATATGTGAGCTCAGTTTTAATGTATGAAATGTAGTAAATTGATTGGATGAATAATTTTCTATAGTGACCTCCATTGTAAAATAAACAGCTGGCAATAATCTGGAGATACATTATGCTACATGGAAATTGTGCTTTTTTCTGTCTAATTGTGTGGGGGTTTTTGTTTTTTTTGTCCAGCTCTTTGCTTCAGCAGATCTGGGCCGCAAGTGGACATTACTGCAGGAGAGAGTGACAAAGGACAGAGTTTTCTGGTCAGTCTAACTTAATTTTATAACATTTGATGGATAAGATGCCAAGAATGCAGCTGTGTTTGTATCACAGCTGGGGCCAGCATTACTAAGCAAGTTCATGATACCCAGGATATCTTTTTCTTATTTCGAGTCACTTATCCAAACAACAGCAACATCAGTAACTGAAGGTGGATCAGTCAACCCAGATTCTTCTTTTTATGAGTCTGGTCACATAAAACTGTGCAATTTGATTAATCATAGACACGGACTAGTCTACTTGCAGCAAAGCAGTATAATTTACAAATGAAGAGACTATATTAAAAATATTGAAAGATGTTAAACAGATAATACATCTGCAAGTTAGTACATAAGAATGTGTGATTTAAAAAGAAGGGAATGCCGTTGTTCCCTAAGAATCTCCATTTCTTATTGATGCTTGTCAGATAAAGACAAATACTATCTCTAGAACTACACTCCTTTCTACTACCTAAATACTGAAGTTCTAGGGATTTTGTTGGGAAGAACTGATTGGTAATTATGTTGTGGTTTTGTACATGTTCGTGTCTTTTCTAAAGGATAACATGCACCAGAGCATATTAGGCCTGCAGCATATCTTACCATGGCGGTGTACCCATTAAGAAGATAACCTTTGTGTTTACCCTGAAAACCAAAGGATAAACCTGACAGTACCACACTTGCCTGACTCAGTCTCTAGGTTTGCTCTACAGGCCTCTGATAACTTCTTCACTGATATATAGTTTTAGAAACTGTGAGAATTAAGGTTGCAACCAAACAGAACATTTTCTGTTTCTTTATGCAAAGATGATTAATACTGGTTCTTGAACATATGTCAGTGTTTTGCAAGGATCCCGATAAGTTAAGGAAGAGAGGAATGAAAATACAAGTACAAGGACTTTATTTTGAATTTACTTTGAGATGGGTGTTGAAGGCTATAATAAACACAGACGAAAAGAAAATTTGAACTGCTTAAGGTTATTTCAGTTCACTTAAGTTCAATTTAGTACCAAATCACAATAACAGTCACATTGTAAGGTAAGAAGCCTACATTATTCTGGAGAAAACCTCAACAATCAAGCAACCCCTAGACAAGTTTGCAGTTGTAGAAAGGACAACCTCTGGCAGAGCCAGGGCTCAGAGAATGCCAGGTTATCTATCAAAAAAAGTTAAAAAGTAGTTATATGGCTCCACTGGTATATAAATATGTGGGGAGAGTGAGAGCTGAATGGTGAAGAACTGCTTAGTTCATCGCATCAAGTCTCTTAGGACTTTGATCCTATAGCTACATAACGGGTCATATGTCTAGCCTTAACTGTTAGCTTTATCAAAAAGGAAAGTTTTCTTAAAAGTAGAGAGGCTGTATGTCTCATGAAAACAAACTGGAAGCTGGTTCCACAGGAAGGAGGCCTGCTGAAAGTTGAAGGCTCTATTTGAAGGATTTAACTGGGTGCCGCTGAAGAGAAGCTAATATTGGACAAGAATGAACTCGCTTTATCATCTCTGTCAGTACTCTGGCAACAGCATTTTGGATTAACTGGGGGCTTAGTGAACTTTAAGAATGACCTGATAACGATAAAAAACAATAGTCCAGCATAAAAATAATGAATGCAGATATAAGACAGAGATATCGTGCAGAAGAAAGAAACAAGTTCTACATAATTGTTTAATATGCACATTATGACATTATATATGACTTATCCTGGTATGGTAATGCCAACCAGATTCAGAATGCAATTAAACATATAATAACCTCAGTTTTGTCTGAATATTGGAAGGAAATTATGGGACATCCTTATGTCTTTAAAATATGCCAGTAGCCAAAGTATATGACTTGTGTCATCTGGCTTCGAAAATGAATCATACTGGGTATTATCTACGTAGCAATAAAAATGTATGCAGTGTTGTCTGATAATATTCTCTAAGGGACGCATGTATAATATAAAAAAGTATGGATCCCAGCACAGAATCCTGTGGAACTCCATGACAAACTTTGTGGAGAAGACTATCAGCTTACATGAACATAATCTATCAGGTACATACAATTTAAACCATTGGAATGTATTTTCTTTAACAATTTTAACAGAGATTAACAGTTTAATCTAAATTTATGTTGAAAAATATTGTGATCAACAGTATCAAATGCTACAGAGTTACCTAACAGGACAAGCACAAAGACATGTCCTTTGTTTGAGTCCATGAGAATTTCATTCATTTCAGGTTTTAAATTATACACAATCCAATAAGAACCTATGGCGCCAGAATAGAAAGGTCTCTTTGAAAGTAGTAATACTCATTAAGCGCAGAACTGGGGGTTACATTAGTATAAAAATGAGAAGATGGGGCTTCGTAAAAAATTACACTTACTAACATTTTTAAAACTCACTAACTAACTCTAATGGGCTACAGCTGCTCCACAGAAGTCAAATACTAGATTAGAAAACGTTAAGTATATGAATTATTACAATTGTTCCCTTAATTTTATATTTTGCCCTTCAGTTGAAGAAGAAATGACATCCACATCAGTTTATGTATAATTTAAATATGCCAACATAAGATGGTGATTGTGATGAACCTTATCCTGTTTACCTTGACAGATACATACTTACTCTGTATTCTGTAGAAAAATATTGTGATCAATGATGATTTTATATATTTTTCCATAGCATTACATTTGAATTTAACAGTTCAATCTTTCAAATAACGGACAAATATTTGTGAAATCATGATACATTTGTGAATGTATTTTAACAATCTAAATATGCATATATGTACAGACAGATACATTTAGACAACAAGAAAATTATATTTTATTACATTACAGTGATTTTACATTAATTTACATTTAAAATGTGAAATCACAGTCCATTTATGTAAATTTAATGATATTCTAGAAGAACAGAACAAAACTGTAAAATACACAGTAAAATACTTTTATATTAGGATTTTTTTTACAGTGTAGGACTTTGCTCTTCTAGACAGAGATCTCAGTTGTTCCTGGATCTGCTGGAGCCACTTGCCCAGCTTGGGGTCCGTTTACCACTGGGACCACTGTTACCTTTGCCCTCCACATCTTCTCGAGCCCTCTCTGAGCCCTTAGTACTTCTCCAACTTCTCGTGTTCCTTCTTCTTGATGTTGCTGTCATTCGGTATCGCTACATCTATCACTATGACTGTCTTCCTCTGATTGTCCACCACTACCATGTCCGGTTTTTCCGTCTGTATTTGGAAGTTCCACAGAAACTTACCTTGGTCGTTGAGAATGCAAATCCCGTTTTGACTTTGGAACATCCTTGCTATACCTGGCACAGGTGTTCCTGTATACTATGCAAATCACTTGGTTATGGCATTCCATGTATGCCCTGCCTGCTAGCATCTTGCACCCTGCTGTTATGTGCTGGATGGATAGATAACCACCTGTCATAAAAACAGGAAAATACATATTTTAAAAGTCTGTCAAAAACAAATAGTTTTTGGTTTGTCCCACAAAGTTTCCCAATGGAACTTTTGTCCAACCTGTCTTCGAATCCACCAAATCTCAAATCTGCTCAATATTTTTCAAGTTTGGACTTAGACTTGGCCAGTCCAACAGTTCTAGTTCTCTAGATTCCTTTTTCACATAGTTTGTGCACAGTTTTGAAATATGTTTTGGGTCATTCTCTTGTTGGTATATAAACCCATGAGCAACCATTTCAGTCTACATCTTGATGAACCAAGGTGATTTGCTAGAATTTTTTGTTCATTATATTATGCTAGCATCAAAATTTTTGTGGATGTTTGCAATCTGTGCAATTTGTGACATTGCACAGATAATGGCTTCTTAGAAGTTAAGTTTCCCTTCAGCCTTGTTCATTCAGTCATTTGCTTATGGTCAGTCTGGAGATTTTCTTATAATATGATCTAAAAACATTTACCTTTTTTGCTGCCTGAAGCAGCAGTGGTCCTCCTTCTGTCTATACTACTTAAAGTCCTAAGGTGCCTGAGATCTGCTTCAGTCAGCTTTCATTTCTTCCTCTTCCTTGGTGCATTCTGTAAGGGCCAGACTCCAAAGCACACTTGACCACACTGTGAGAACACTTGAAGTCTTGCTCTATTTGTCTCAAAGACCATCACAGCATCACAAAGTGCTTCAATGTAGACTATTCCCTTTTCAAAGAGCTCTCTGCATGTTCCCATTTTAAAATGAGGAGGAATTTCAAACTGAATTCACATTTTATACCCACATTTGAGCTGGCAGACTGGATTTATCAGAAATTAATCAAGCATTCAAGCACAAAATGTTCTGTTCAGAAAATTTTCAGTAATTTGCCAACTTAATCAAAGAAAATTAATATGCTTTAAAATTTTCTTCTGTTTTATATTGTAAAACATTAAATTTGATGAAAATGAAACAAAATATGAATGAAAAACAACAAAATTATATTCTAACATTAATAATATAATTTCATTTAAAGAGCTTGAACAACCAACAACATTGGTGGATTAACATTACACAAACATAAAAAAAAAAAAAATTGGCCATTGCCAAGTGGTGGAGAGAGAGGGGGGGGGCGGCAAGACTAGGTGTGTGTGTGTGTGTGTTTCTCTCTCTCTCGCTCTCTCTCATAGAACAATATAAATAGTTTTAAATGGCTTTCACTGGTATTATTTGACCAGCTTTAATATTTATTATGAAATCAATGACATAACATCAAAAGCAGTGGCTTTATTTACAGTGCAGGAGAGTTGTGCTATTTATAAAGTCTTTCAGCAGTTCTTAGTTCAAAAGTCTTGTATTTACAAAATCCAGCATCTGATCTCCAGTGTTCCCAGGACAGAATCTCTTCTCTCAGCCATGCAAAACACTCTCCACAGGTAACCACAGCTAACATTTGAAATCTTTGTGCTAACAATAATGAAAGAGACTTACAGATGGGCAAGGCAATCACTACGACAGTTGGACAACACTCAGACAGAGACTGAAGGTCAGGTCCCAGTTTAAATAGCAGTCAGCTGATTGCCAGCTGATTCACAGGTGCTTGATTGCTTGAGGCACATCAGGGCGAGGGCTGAGATCCCAGGAGGATCCTGCCCCCCTAAGGTAACGTGGAGTAAGCAGACACATATACACAGAGCAACAAGCAAACACACCAAGAGGTAGAGAGAGAGAGGTTGCTGTGATGGTAGATTTTTCGGTTTTCCTGCAAAGCACCATTGTCTTTTATACATAAATCTCCAGATGGCAGGAAGGAGGCATCCTGTTTCATTTACTAAGAGCAGCAGATTTTTCTTTTAAGAGTTAATAAATATGTGAAAATGACTCCCACCAGGGATAAAACAAACTTTTTAGCAAATGCAACAACTTAGACGAGAGGGGTAATTTACATCCCAAGTACAACTATGCATTGCATTTTGCATGAAAACTGTGGATTCCTATCTTAACAATCATTAATCTATTAAAGTTAACCAAGGTAAACAACCTTCAATAGATTGGTAGAGCTGATGTGAGGCAATATACTTAAAAAAAAAAGAAACTTTGCTCAGAAGCAAACCTGAAAAACCTGCTTGGATAGGAATCTTTTCGAGGTCAGGTGTTTCCTATCCTTTCAATGCTCACATTGGTTGTAATGCACAGGGGTCAAAGTTGTGGGAAATTACTGCAGAGTGTTTTATAATAAGGCTGTCATCTCATCCCAGAGAGAAACAGAAAGCAGAAGAAAGTAAATGGCTCTTATTGTCACATGTAATATTTCACAGCTTTCACGATCATATATCTTCCAGTATGTCTCCTCCTAACTCTAGTCTTCATATTTTATCTCCTTTTTCATTCTTCTATTCATCTGTTTTCTTTTACCATTTTCTCCCATTTGAATTAAGCTTCATGTTACTCATTCATGTAAAATAGGCATTATTGTAAAATTATAAGTTCAAATGTGCAGCATTCAAATACTATTGAGTCCCTCTTTCCCATCTTTTAAAGGTCAGAAAGGCATTTCTGAAGGAGTTCCTGTCCTCTCTTTGCAAATATTAAATGAGCTGGTTCACACACCCAAGCAACTATGATTTATACCACCAGTGCTAACTCACAAATCATCCTCTCTGCAATGTAAAAATTGAGAGATTGTGGAAGGGTGCCATATAGGAAGAGAAACACCCTAAGTGCTTCCTTTTTTAGACTTAAGTTACATACTCAAGTAAGAGTTGGCTCTGGGTTTTAGACCCCTGCAATGAGAGCTATATTATGTAATTCTTACTGTAACTTGTGGATTAAACATTTTTTTTGTTTTTCTGTGAATAACATTTGGTTTTGACTTAATAGTGGCACAAGATTAAAAGTTATGGACTTGTTTTCAAAATTCATATTTTGGAAACCATGAAAAATGGCTCCAAAATCTTAACCTTTAAATATTGGCTACCCATCCAATATTTACTCAGAAACACCTGGAAAACAGAGTGACCATTTAACCATACAATATAAGAGCAGATTAAACTGGCAAAAATTGCTGACCGCTTGACTTAATACCCCTCGCCAAGTGCCATCATATAGCCAGTGGCTATATGTTCTATATAACTATTGATTATAGGAAACTGAGCTCTAATATCATAAAGATTGTGGTCCTCCATTCAAAAGTTTATATATGTGGCTAAGGTTTTACATACATACACACTGTAAATGCATGTTGTTAGAGTTTTGGGATCTGAATTTAGCCAGTAACAGGAATAGCAGAGACCAGAAGTCTTCCTGCAAGTGCACATAAATCACACAAAAAATATCACATTAAAATCAATCTGCCTTTAGGCTGGTCTAGCTAAATGTGTTCCAGTGGACCTTGTTTTTGTGATGCTAGGTTGTAAACGTTTTGTTTGTCATTCTCAATAAAATGAAAAAGCTGTTTATTGAAATTAAACTGACATTGCAAGGCTGACAACTAAAAACAAAAGTAAAATGTTTAAGAATAGGTGAAGAAAACAGCTTGTATAATAATGATAACGAGAAGAAGAAGAAGAATTTATTTGTATAGCACTTTTCAAAACAGAGATATATATGTACAGGAGATAAGTGTACATGTTTGAACATACAGACACAAAAACAGACATGCTCTTTTGTTCCATCATACACACATACATGCATGCATGGTTGCAAACTATGGCCAAAAAATGAAGGTGAAAAGATTAAGGAAACACTAACCTATAAAAAATGAGTTTTCAGCAGTTGTTTTAAAACAAATAACAGAATCTGCTGTTTTAATAGTCTGAGGAAGGCTGTTCCACAGTTTGGGTACAACAATGTCAAGAGGCTGTCAATGTTTTGGGCTTGACAGAAAAGTGTCACTGGGTGTCATCTGCACGGCAGTGGTAGAAGATTCCATTAAAGCCATTCAGTCCATTGAAATCATTCACTAGATGGCCGAGGGGTAACATTTCTCAAAGTGCAAATTCACCTTCAGTCTGAATTCACATTGCATGCTTGGAGCTGACACTTCTATCCAAAGAAACATGCAAGTTTCCAAGATAGGTCAAGGAGGACATGGGACGTTTGCTCATGGGTTTTCTAATAGATGGGAACAAGCAGCAAGACTCTTGATCAGGTCCAGAACCTTAAAGTATATATACAGTAAAAATAAATACAGAAAGTTAAAAAAAAGAAAAGAAAAGAAAACTGCAAATGTCAGGCAGACAAAGATTTAGCTATTGATAAGGACATTTCAAATGCCCAGTGTTTGCCTGATTGGCGACTAACAAGAAGAGGAACATCCTAAAACCTGGCAAAAGGAGTATTTCGGCATTGCTGTGCATTAGTGTCAACGCAAAATAAATTACATTGAGGTACATGCCAATGGAAATCTATTAGAGTGGATTAAACAGGTGAACTATATGCTGAAAGGCCACTCCAGAGATCCAGGTTTGATTCTGCTTCTGGACATGTTATTCCATGTTATTGCGCTCTGTCCCTCCTTTCTTGGATACTCTGCTGTCCAGGGTAAAAGTCAGTCTTTAAAAAGAAATCTGTTAAAGTGGACACAATACCATACTGAAGGTAAATATGGACGTGCTGTTTTGTAGCTGATAGCTGGTCCCTAGTCCCATTCTAAGGCTTACATAAGTAGTTCTCCTATATTCTCTTTACCGCTGTGATAAGCTGAAATGGACCCCCTACTCTAAGCTGTGCTCACTTCAGTCGCTCTATTAGAAAAGTTTAACTGTCATTGGTATAAATCACTATACATCACTGACATTTCATCATAGTCTCTGCTGCCAGTCATTCCTTCATATGCCCCTTAACAAGCTGAACATTCTTTCTGATATCAGGCTAACAGATGGATAATGAGTTCTCTTCTTCTTGTCTCTGCAGTCGCTTTTCATCATCCACTGTTTAAATTGTGGTGACCTCTTATATTTGTACGATGGGTGTATAACCCATTCCATAGACATCTGACTAGCAGTAACTGGACTGAGCCCAGAAGCAAACTTGGTTTTGTAGATGAACCACATTTGTTGGCAGCTGTTTTTGTTAAACAGAAAAGACTTTCTGGATAATAGACTTGATTTTGAATTGGCTATTAATGACCACTTTATTCCATTCAATCAAGTTAAGTTTTATGTATTGCACAAACAATAACGTACCATTGGCAAAATTTTGAAATGTCATTTGCATTTAGTACGACCAAATAATTTTTAGAATACTTTTAATAATGTTTTTAATAAGAAATATATATTTTAACTGCACCATGTATAGAGTATGAGACGTATGTGTATCATCCCAGCAATGAAAAACAAGCAGTGAGTGATAATTGTTCTAATGCTGAAAGAAATGTGACTTATTTATTACTTATTAATGTGTAACTTATTTAAAGTAATACATAAGATTTTTTAAGTAAACTGTTTCACGTGGGTAGTGTTTTTTCTGAAGCGTCCTCTATGAGCTCTCTCTTTACCTACAATATGACTGATATTCCTTACCCCTCATAACTCTTTTCCTACCTTGCTTCCCCTTCCCCTCACAGTCTGCTAATTGCTTGTAAAATCTCTTTATAGGAAAAGTAACAAGGTTTTAAATCTCCACTGTGTCTTTACTGGCCAGGGGGATATTTTACAGACTACATTATGCAGTTCTACTCAGATGAACTGTTTAGTTTACCACTCACTGAAGGGCAGACAGAGCAAATGCACTTTTGTATACATCCGTGTGCTTTTAAAAAGGAGCATATGAACATTTTGATGGTTTTAAAGTATACTACGTTAATATGAGTTAGGATAAGTGCATTTTCCAGGAAGTGCTGACCAGTGAAAAAAGGGGTTGTGGACAGTGACTGTACTTTATAACATATTATCCATCCAGTCATACATTTTCTGCCTATCGAATTCAGGGTAGTGGGAGGGGCTTTGTCTGGATTGGCTAAAATAAAATTAGCGTAGAAATCAACGTGTACAAGTTGTCTAAAATTATGATTGAATGGTTTAGTTCTAGATGGTCTTCCCCTGCAAACTTAGACATATAACATTGGTAATTTGATTTTTCATTTAAAAGATTAAAATGATACACTCAAACTTAAATGTTTCTACATTTACATCCATCCACCACCCTAACAGGTTTGAGTCATGAATAAAAACGTTTTCCTGGGTTCACCATGTTATGTGAACATCTAAAACACACATCATTTGACAGAATGCAGCGAATTTGTGCGGTCATGCCATTTGTTCCATGTTTTATTTCTCCATATTTTCTGTCTTGCTCCAATATTAAAATTAGAAAATGTAAAAAAGGGAAATATAGAAGTAAAATTCTAAAAACATTAAAGTGACAAATTGTTATTATTAAAAAAACATATTGTATTGACTGTGCTTTACTGTTGTGTTGCTTGGACTAGTCATATGTGGTTTTAAGGTAGAAGTCTCATCTACATCTGACATGATTGTCTTCTGTGTTCCAGGTCTGTATCTGGTGTGGATGTGGATCCTGATCTGGTGCACATGGAGATGCAAGATACAAGTGGAGGTGCAGTGATCTTCCACTAGCCCACTCATCTTGTTATAATGTTAGCACTTGGTCAGAGAAGATCAAACTTTATTAGAATTTCTATAAGTTGATATAAATCTAGAGGTAAAATAAAGCACAAGGTTTAGCTTTGGTCCAATTTTATACTACTAATAGCAAACAGCTAATCAGCAAAGAGACTTGAAATTTGAAATGCTACCAGGTGTATTCTTACTTGGGTTTAAAAGCATGTTATTAAAATACATTAACTGGCACTATCACAAGCTGATGGGTAGAGGACCAAAATACAGGATTTTAAACAAAAAGGTGAACCTTTATTAGGTTGAATGCAATGCCTACAGCCAAATCCGAATACAAGCAGAACTCTAAGGTCTTTGCAGGGAAACAGGCAAAACTAAGAGCAAACAGAGGAAGATAAAGACTACAGACAAGTCTAAGGAGAAGCACAGGACTATATATACACTTTAACTAGAAACAGGAGGGTAATGAGACATAGGTGACAGTAATCAAGACAATCACAGGGGATGAAGTCAAGCTTAAAGGAAGTAAATCCGGTAAAGTAAATCCGTTGGGCATCTTTCTTTGCCTTTAGACAACAATTCTGATGGCAAAAGAGCCAAACGGGACAGGCAAAAAAAAAAAAAAAAAAAAAAGCTTAAAGGAAGACACAAGAGACAACTAATTTTAAACTGTTAAAATAACAAAGAACCCAACTAAAGGCACAAGAGAACTCACTCTGAATTCAGGGAAGGACAGAATTAATAATAGCCTTAAGGCAAAACCAAAAGGAAATAATTAGTGCTGTGAAAATTAACATGTTAATGCAAATTCATCTGCCATCACGGTCAATGTGATACTTTTTTTTTTTAGCGCAATTAACGCATCTGGAGTGCAGAATGACTCAAAATCCCTAAAATGTTTCTGTCAATGCATTTCGGGTAGTTTGTCCAAATAGAGTTACCTTTGCACATGCGCAAATGGGCAGCTGATCTGGTAGTGATGGGCAGCTGAACCAATCAACTCAATATGGAAGATGATAAACGCACATTGGCCCTCTCAATGGAAATTTGAGTATTAAAGAAATAACAAGACGGAACAGTCAACCGACATAAAGTATTATGCAAATTATTCAAGAAGGAATTTTCTTTTTACCGAAGCACTTCCAGCTTAAAATATCACACTGACGTGAAGCATACGTTAGCCGGGGATGCTGCTAGGACTTTGGCTAACGCGTCACCAAGCTTGCGACAAACCACTCACGGAGAATCGGGGACTCAGTAAGTCTACCTCAGACCAGTGTTGCCAACTTAGCGACTTTGTCGCTATATTTGGCGGGTTTTCAGACCCCCTTAGCGACTTTTTTTCTAAAAAGCGTCTAGCGACAAATCTGGCGACTTTTTCTGGTGTTATTGGAGACTTACTTATGACGACTTTTTAACGTGAAAGGGCGTATTGCTCTTACTCTCAACAAGCAGCAGTGCTGCCGTGGGCACCTCACCCGTGCTAAAGCGCTCACGGGCGGAGGATAGTCCTCCCCCAGCTGCAGGAGATGTTCACACCTATGCGTCCAAACTGCAAATGAACCGCGCATGAGCGAAGCCGCTGCTCCCGCACTGACTGTAATGCAGTCAGTTCTTCTTTTACTCTTATGCTGTTTTGTGGATCACAAGGTTTAAAACTACTTATAAACACACACACACATAAAGTAACTCCACCAGAGTGCCTATTTCGGGTCACTTTTGCCAGTCGAAGCCCGGATAAAGGAGCAGGGTTGGAATTGTGACATTAAAAAACAATAATTGCTAAACGAAATTTATTTTGTAGTTCTAAATAAATTCTAAATGCATTTAGGACGTTTTTTGCTCACTTTATGTTTCTTCCACGATGTTATTTCTCTCTCCAACAGCGTAGGTTACAATTATATTAGCATGACCAATTATGCAAATTAGGTTATGATGTCATTTAGCGACTTTTAGGACAACCAATAGTGATTTTCCTTACTGAGGAGTTGGCAACACTGCCTCAGACATGTTGACTGACACAATTGCCAAGTGGATTGCAACATGAAAGTGCGTACATTCTCCCTTTTTTCTTGAGTCTGTTTGCTCATGCAAAATGAAATGCGATTAATATAGAATAAAAATGAATGATATTTAATTGTGATTAATCAAAATTAATCCACTGTAACCCTGTGATGAATCTGATTAAACATTTTAATTGTTTGACAGCACTAATATATATTATATATTGGTATATACTTACCTATTAGTATATAGGTTTTTAAAAAAGTTTCACAGAAAATAACCTGTGTTAAAAGATGCAAGAAAACTATTTAAATTCTCTTTGAATTTAACCTGTTAGCAGTCGGACGTACCGCCCACGGTACATTGGATGGTTTAGGGGACTAATTGTAAATTTGTAGGACTGCTAAGGGGTTAAGCATACATTCTTTGTGTTTATTCTGCATTTACTTCATTATATTGCATAAATATCAGTTACAAGCGTAAATATTAAGTTGAAAAAAAAAAGTAATTGAAACCAGGCTATTGATCAAGTAATTGTGAGATTAATTAGTTAAATATTTTTAATCTATTGACAGCACTAGAAATAATATTAGAAAATTGAAAAGCTTTATGAGAGTAATAAAACCCAGGCAGAGATCCTAAAAAAAAAACCCTCAAAAATCTAAACCTCAAAAAATAAGAATTAAAACTTCATGCAATAGAGTACAGAAATACCTAAACAGAAACTCAACCTCAGATATGTTAACTAAGGATTCAAAGTCAAAGACATAACCAATCTTAGGTCACATGACAATCAAAGCAAAACCGTCACTGTGCCTTTTTAGTAAATCTGTAAGGAGTGATTTGGATTTGCACAGGCCAATATGGCCCTATGCCGGATTGATGGTAATGAATTTTGTTTCTTGAAATATCCTTGCCAGATATGACTGATGCCTCATTCAGTTCAACTATGACATGAGGATCAACTTCTCTTTAAGAATTCTTGAGGTAGAGGATAATGTGTTTTACCTATCCAGGCAGCGCTAGCACTACAATGTAAAAGCAAGTAAAAGAAGAGATGACCGAATGACCTTGGTGTGGGAGTGTTGGTAGTGTTTATGTGTGAGGCGTCAGTGGGGAATTTATGGATAAGCTAAATACTCAGGGTCCCTCAGGGCAACACCAGTGAATTTGGATTATCATATCTCCTGAGTGACAGACGAACACCTCCACACAGAGGGCCAAGAGGGTAATAGAAATGTGTATTTGAGATTGTGCATTTGTCAATGAAGGTGGCAAATGTTCAGACTCTTTATTCACATCTTGACTTCATCTTCTCTCAGTCTCCCAAACTATAATCCTAAATTCTAAACTATAACCTCTAAATAAACCTGAGCAGGCAAAGTCAGATAGGAGTGGCAGACTCTGAAGGGCACAATGAAGGATGTGTTTATTATATTTGCTGTTCCATTCTCAATAAACCTCCCTATTATAAATGGCCATTAAAATCTGAACCTCTTGAGGAGGAGACGAGCAATCTTTTAACCCACACACAGAAAGATGCTGCCTGCATTGTGAAATCTGTCGGGCTGAACAAAGCTCCCTGTGTTTGTGGATAGTGAAGATGAGAGGCTGTCTCTCTGGGCTGACTGCCCAGTTACGGGAGCTCTTCCTGGGGCACATGGCCTCATCTTTCTCATTCTCCTCCCTCTTCCTCTCCTTGCTTCTGTGCCCAGATAGATAGTTGAGGAAGGCGGGAGCGACCAGGCATGCTAAACCAATCTGTTCACCCTGTTCCCCCAAATCCTCTGCTCCAACCCTGTCATGCGTAGCATGGCCAAGGTTAAACAGTGGCATGCTACCAAAAAGGACACAGGAGAGATGAGGAACTGTGGCCTTGCCCTCAGCTCCCAGGACTGCTGTCTGATGTTTGAGAAGGGCTGGAGGGGTGGGAGGAAAGTCTCCTAGGAGATGGGGTGGTCGATTGATGGATGAGCCATGTGTGCACAGAGATGCTAGCTGGTAGTGTGTCTTTGTATATTAGTTTGTCATTAGGGAGATTGAAGGGCAAGAAAGCATGAGAGTATCTTGTTCATGCACATATTGACGCTGTAATGTTAGGAGTACTGTAAATGTGTACATGTCTCTACAAGTATTACATGTATTGCTTTCTGTATTTTTTAAATAGTCACAGTCTCAATAATATCCCTTTAGCTATGCCCTGTTTCCCTGTTGCTGTTTTCCTCGTCATACCACCCAATTTCACCATGTGAGTGTGGTTGCAGGTATGTGAGGACAGCAAGTGGCATGAAGAAATGAGTGTGCCACAAGCTGGAATTGAACACTTAGTCCAATCTAATAGTTTTTTAATGAGTTCTCCACCGTATGCTGCTTTGATTAAATGTCTGGGCTTTTCAATAAATTAGCCACTCCATTTATTAGACCACACACCTCCTGAACAAAGACAAAGCAGAGGAGGAAAAGTACAGTGCTGATGAAAAGAATTGACTCAGTCATGCGATATGAAGTTGCGTCATCCTGAGGCTGAACCGATTTGAATTTTCTTTTATGTAGTTGTATGTTGATTTTATTCTACTAAGATAATACTTTAGAAAAAAAAGTAGTAAAAGACTTCAATATAAAGAAGATAGGATGTACCACATGAGAATGAAGGTGACTTGATATGGTGCATTATAACACAGACATCTGTAAAACTGTCTTTTATGAATTTTTAAACCAGGTAGATTAATATCCATTCTGTTTAGCAAAGGACATGGAGAAAGAGTCATCCTCTCTGTCATATATATATATATACAGAGACCATGGTCATTCTCAGGGCATATCTCATTTTGACTTTGTGTGTGTATGTGTATGTGTATGTGTATATATAAAAAAAACACCCAGCACGCCCCTGCGGGC